TGATCAAAAGTGACACCAAGATTTTTTACTTTATCATCTGAGATCAATTTAAACCAATCCAAAGGAGGAGACTGACTAATAAGCTTAATTTTCAAAGACTGGTCAAAAGACTATAACTTATGTTTTGTCTGCATTCAGGAGCAGAAAGTTAAGAGTCATCCAGGTTTTACTGTCTTCAAGACATGCCTGTAATCTATGTAATGGGTTAGCATCATCTGGATTTATAGACAGATATGGCTGAATATCATCAGCATAACAGTGGAAATTATATATATACATATATATATATATATATATATATATATATATATATATATATATATATATATATATATATATATATATATATATATATATATATATATATATATATATATATATATATATATATATATATATATATAAAAACTCTTCCTCACTCACCATGGGCGGTCTCCCTTTTTTCCTCCAAGCTCGGGTCCTCTACCAGAAGTCTGGGAGCTTGAGGGTTCTGCGCTGTTCCTAGAACTGCACTTTTCTTGACCAAGATTTCTGATGTATTTCCAGGCTTTTGCGCTAACCACTTCACTGCCCCGAATGCCCCAATGACCAATGGTCCTTCCAGGTTTTCTCCAGCTCTTCTACAAGCCCCTATATTTCTCTAGTTTCTCATGTTCTTTTTTCCTGATGTTGCATTCAGTTGGTATTGCTATGTCAACCCCAACTGCTTTCCTCTGCTTTTTTGTCCACCACCACAATGTCTGATTGGTTTGCCCTTACCATTTGGTCCGTCTGTATCTGGAAGTCCCACAGGATCTTGGCTCAGTCATTCTCTACCATCTTTGGAGGTGTTTCCCACTTTGACCTTGGGGTTTCCAGCCCATACTCTGCACATATCTTCCTGTATACTATTCCAGCCACTTGGTTATGGCGCGCCATGTAAGCTTTTCCTGCCAGCATCTAACACCCTGCAGTGTGGTAGGTCTGGGCCTCTATACCTCTGGTGCTCAGGGCCTGCTCTTGTGCAGCCATGATGAGTGTCTCTGTGCTGTCCTTCACTCCAGCTTGGTCTAGTCATTGGTAGGATTTCCTAATATCCACTACTTATGTTATGTTTCGGTGGTATATCCCATGACGGAACCTCCAGCACCCCATCTGTTGCCTTGAAATTAGCCTCCAGCCTTCTTTTCAATGGTGGGTATTTCATCACATAGCCAAGCATCCCTAGGATCACTGCTGCTGTGCAGTATATCAGCTCATCGGTGTCAGTGATGGTTGATGTAGGAATTGCTTGCATGGCTGCATTCAGGTCTTGTAGTAGACTTACAAAAAGCTGCAATGAAGAGACTCACTACATTTTTTCTATTTGTTTATCATGCAACAAAGGGTGGAAAAATGTTGAGCAGTTCTGGCAGACTTTTGCACATGAAAAAATGTTTTATTCAGTAAGTTTTGTCATCTTGACTCAGTAGAATAGGATTTGTCACCGCATCATATCACCTGTAATGAGGATAACTCAAATGGATCCCATGCAATCTGTGCTCCTTTTCGCTTTTCAGGCCTTAGAGCAGCATTATTTAAGGGAAATTGATTTTTTGTAACCATATACCTTTCTCTATTTCTCCTTATTATACTGAATAAAAATACATAAAACTAGAGGAACCAATGTAAAATATTTTATTTTTTCTCAATTCTAAGCTTAGTTTTCTATCAAACTATGAAAAAAGCACAAAACATTCAATTAACATAATTTGAGGCAAGGGGCCTCCATAAGTTGGAAAGCCCGGGGAACTTGCATGCATTCCAGTTTGCATGTAGGTTGCCAAATAACAAAAATCTATTAGAAAGGAATATGACCTTAGAATTAACCCAAATTCTGAAAGTCCATCAGTTAACTTATACCCCAGGCAATCAACCGATAGGCTGTTGTTTTACTCTTACATCATGCAGTTCACTGTAAACTGTGCGCTCTGGGTTTGTTTTTCATTTGGGGTTGTTGCTAGAGTGATGTGCAGCACACAGCACCTGTCTTCTCTGTTTGCTCAGCATTTGTACACGCACCATGTGTGTTTGAACGATGATAAATGAGGCTGGTAATGACACTTTAACAATGACTGCATTAGTGTTCCAGCAGGCTTTACGTCAGCAGCCTCCAGCTACGCTATGAAAGCTGTTGACACCTGCATGCGGTGGCAGCGCAACGTTTTATTTATGAAGCACTAAAGCGCTGTCTACTCCCTGAGCATCTGGCCTGCCTCAACTTCTGGATACTGTTCCGTAGCTTTTATTGAATTATAAAGTTGGTAGAGCAGTAGCTGTACCTCTTCTTCCACAGCTGCTTTAATTCCCAATAACTCTAGTGGACATATAAGTTTGACATTAGAGTAATGACTCAGGAGACGTCTTATGGCCCTTTAACTGCTTTCTAACATAGTATATATGGAGGGGAGTTCCCTCAAACAACTGCTCAGCTTGTAAAACCTCAAGTTATTATGTGTTTTATGGGTAATATCAGTGAGTATTTTAGCTTCTTTGGACAGGCACTTTACAGCATCCTTTAGCAAACTTCTGGAATGCAATTATAACTTTCATGTTTGTTTTTAATGATCACACATTTATTCATTAAAACTGAAGTAAACAGAATAAATTAATGATCAAACGTTTAACATTAATTGTATTAGTAATGTGGTAAGCAGGTCTGTTTTCTGCGTGACCCAGTCTGGGTCAAGCTTCAGCTGTTAAACAGAAGGTGTCGAATTTTTTTTATTTGCTGGAATACGGTTGCATACAGAGGAGCTCATGGTCAACTGAGTCCCTACAAGCACAGATCATCAACACTGTTTGAAGATGCTATTCTCCTTTTACTCTTGAAAACAAGAAAATATGTACAGTTTCTTTCAAAATTCTGTAGTCTGAACTAGTGTACATGGGGTGAAAATGCTGAAACATATTGGGATTACTAGCAGCTATCTTTAAGGATTTGTTCTTGTTAATAAATATGATTCTGCACTTTTCAATTCTGTTTAAGTTTTTGAGTCTTCAGTTACACTTTGATTTATTTCATTCTGTGTTTTCAGATTAGTGGTTTCATTTTAATTTTGTCAGCTCTCCCACAATGTTTACATTTGATCACTGCTGCACTTTAAGAAATGGAAATGTCATGAGAGCTGTACAAAATGAAATTTCTTGACAAAAAAAGCTGTCTAAGTAATTTTAGTTGTTTTCTGGTTGTATTTGAGTTCTTATGTATTTCTTGTTTACTTTCTGTAAACAAGACAATACTATACCTGACAATACCTGACAATTCGTGATCGGGAGGTGGTTGTGAGAGGCTAATCGCCCCTCGTTAACCCCTGTATACTACACAACGCAAGACACACGATGAGCTGAAACTCGGCCTGATCCAGAAAATTCTTGCATGACTGGAGAATTGACCTGAAAGAGGCAAAAAAAAATAAATGACATAGTGTCAGCCCATCCTAGCTGCTACCACATGTAATCTACCAATTAAAAAATTATTCTTAAAACCCATTTTTCTGCAAACGCATGCTGTACTTCTTGTGTGGCTGACCTTTATTTTTCAATGTTTTGTTTTGGTCTTTCTTAGTTCTTTAGAATGCATTACAAACTTGTCATTTTTAAAGCTATGGTTGGTAATGGTGGAGAGCTAGCAAGATTTTAAAGTGGTGCTACCCCCTTCCCCTGCCTTCTGTAAGTTTTTTTTTTGTTCCTCTTTCTGAATACATAAGGTTTTTGACCACTCTCAGAATGGAAGGACACTCAATATAACTAAAAGTGGTTTTAAACAGGATCACCAACCCTAACTTTAAATCTCTTGGTTTTATTTCTGATATAAACAGCAATTTATGAACCTTGGTTTGTCTTGAAGTGTTACAAACGAACTAGTGGCCTAATTCCGAAACTGAATCTCAATGTCACAGTCTTGGTTTTCCATTTGTTGTCCTCTGCTGCCCTCTTGTGTCCTCTTTCCCTAGCTCTGTTTTCTGCTCTGCCCTCACCTGTTTTCAATCCCCTCGTTAACCCTCTCTTTGTCTCTGTCCCCTTTAAAAGCCTCCCTCTTCAGTTCCTGTTTGCTGGATCCTCGTCAAACGTCTGTCTGCTTACCTCGTCTCTCCCTGGCTTCTAGAGTTTGGTTTTCCCCTGATGTCTCCTTGGTTCTGGTTCGTTTGTAATTTTTGTTGGATTTTTGATTCCTGCCTCAGTTCCTGTGAACCTCATTAAAACCACCTAAATTCACCTCTGCCTACTTGCCTCTGCATTTGGGTCCTCAAACCAACACCAAATCCTGACACTCAATGATCAGTATTTTACCCTGCAGGATAGAGGACTCTGTTGCATGCTCTGCCAATACAGGAAACACCTTCATTTATAACGTTAATTACCTAGCGAAAATTACATCTTTACTATTAATTATTAGTGCTTGTTCTAAATATTTCGAAGAACACTTTGTTTGCTTCTTGACTCAAGGTTTAATTGTGACAGCTGCATGCTCCTCATGTTCAAATGGGACAATCTCTCTCTGTTCATTTATTGACCCTGTAATTTTATCCTGCTTCTGCTGGTTGTAATGTTCACTCAGATCAGCATGACATGTAGAACAAAGTTTGTGGGGCTTTTTCAACACAGAGTACAAATTAAGTTGATCAAACCCAAGGTATTTTGGATTTTGAATTAAAGAATATCAGAAAACAAATCCAGTAAAGAACCTCCCTGTCCTGTTATAAAAAAATGAACAAAAAATGTTATGTCAATTGTTATGTTAGAAACATGCAATCAAGTGATATGATTGGTAATATATAATGATAGATGCTCTTTCTTTCTGGGAGCCTTTATGCCCCTGTAGGTTTGGCCATGTGACCCTGGGCGTCAAGCAGCATCAGTCCTGTCAACAGTTCTCACTTTGTGTGAGTTTTTCAATGAAATTACTGCAATAAACGGACATTTCTATGATATCCTTGCGCTTGGAGATGCACCTGTAGCCTATGCATAACCATTTCCTCTCTCACACCGAGTCGCCATATGCTCTCTCTCCCGTCTTGGAGGAGCGAAGAGGAGGCTGTGAGATAATAGTTTACAGGAGGGGGTGTTGGTGTTGGAGAGAGAGACGGGATATAGGACGAGCATCACACAGAGGTTTGGCTGCAGACTCGCCAGGATCCCTTTCGCCGCCTCTCCCTCTCAGGTCAGTAAAACCAAACGCACCGTGCACAGAGAAAACATCCTGGGAGGGGCTGTGGGGAGGGTGGCTGCGCGTTTCGCTGCTTTCTTCTGGGCTGCAGCTCGCATGGTTTCAGGGAAGTAGAGATATATAAAAAAAAAGCGGGTTTGGATAGTTATTTAAATGGTTTTTATTGTACTGCGATCGGTGTGTGACGGTGCACATAAACACATGCAAGCGGCTGCAGGTATTCGCCATCCCTCGCTGCAACATGCGGGGAAAATACGCGCACAGGGTTTGTGTTAGTTCTGCAACAGACTGCGGATGATTACTTCTGATACTCAGTCACCCACCTGCTCCCTCCGTCCAGGTACCGCCTGGATGAGAGAAAGTGAGAGGAGGTGGAGGTTTTTTTCTTCCATGAATAGAGATCATTGATGGGGAGGAGGCAGGAGGCCGGTTCGGGTCCTCCGCAGTGCCGCGCAGGCAGCACCAGCTTCTGATGGATGATGGAGAGCCTGAATTATTTATAGCAGCCAGAGCATTGATTAGCTTTATGTAATTCACCCTGGGGCTGAGATGGGGGCTGCCACACTGGTAGGTGTTGTTTGGGCATCGAGGAAATACGATTTGCAATCAATGGGCGCGCGTGCGTGCCATCCCGTGCGCGCATTTACAAACATACCCTGTGTGATGGGTAATGTGTGGAAATAAGAGACGATAGTAATTCGCTATGCAGACTAAAAACAAAAACACAAAATAAAGCATTTATTTTCAGGATTAACTTACATCTGACTATTTATTTCTCTGTCTAGACCACAATAGATTACAATTTACAAAGAAAACCAAAGCTCTCATAAAATCTGCAATCTAAAGCGCTTTTTTTTTATTTAGGACCCTTGATTTTGATGATCTTTTCATGAATATTATCTTAAATACTGGATTCTTGGCCTGACCAGTTTGCTGTTTGAAGCAGATATTGTTTATTGTAACTTTATAGACAACAATCAAATAGGGTTCATATTTGTTTTCTCCCCTTTTGTAGAACAAAAGGGGCAAAGATCTACAATACTGTTTGCAAACCATATGGATGTCTATTGGAAAATAAAAACAACTAAAATAAAAGAATAATTTTAAAAAACAACAACAAAGAAATAACAAAAACGACATGATAGTTTTTCTCTAGTGTGGTCTTCAAGGGTATTTAATTAAGTAATTGTATTTTAGAAAGTATTTTTTTCATGTAGAACCATAACTTTAATGAAACAATTAAAATAACTTTGAAGGAAGTGAAGCACAATTAACTTTTACTGACAGATATTCTACAGATACAAACTGCGCATTACTGCATGTATTTCTATTCTAAATCTGCAACAGGTTTAAATACCTTGACTCAGCTGTTGCGGTTTTATTTTGGCTCTTTGTAACATGGTGTTCAGGGGTTGTTAAGCTGCTGGTTCTGCTTCCCTATCCCACTGTTATGTTTTGGTAACACCTTTAATAAACTGTTAAAAACCTCATGAGGCTTGTCAGTGTAGGAAAAATGTGGCTCGGGAAGAACCGCAGATATGTCCCTTCATTCTGCACAAACAGAACGGCATAAAGAATTGTTTTTATTCGACTTATTTTTAGAGGAAATGAAAGAGCATCACACATTTGCCTTATGTGGCATCAGGGATACAGCCTTACCTCAACGAAAGATAAAGTTTATTGCTTTTTCGAAAGTCGGTACTGCAGCTTTTGATCAAATCTTCACATCAGTATTTTAATAGGTTTTTTAACTGGTTTGAGTGACTTGCTTTTATGATTAGTTGTGCACTTATTTTTTAGCCGGTTTCTTCTATTAAACCCACCTTAGGTTGACTGTGTTATGGTGGAGAGTTTGAATTGACTAACATTTATTTATGTTTACATCCATTTTGCATCCGAAATAAAACATCATGATCCAGGTGGAGAAAATAAGCCCTACAATGTCTTACTGCCAGCAGTTAGCTTCTTTTACTCTGTAAACTGGAGCAGGGACTAAAATTAATATTTCTCTAAAGTGTTTTTAAGTTAAATATACAATTTAAGATCCATGTTCTTTTGATATATAGTGTTGATTTGTTATTGGATTTAATCAAACTAAATGTGAAACCTGACACCTTCTGTTCCCATCCAGTGTGTAGTCTTAATTTTCAGCTGAAAGAAGTCCAAAATACACATAATATTTTTTATTCACATTTTTTCTTACTTCTTTTCATGATTGGTCTCTTTTATAACAGCTCTTAGACAGCGCAGAAAAAAGAGCATACATTTTTAGAACCAATCCCCGAAATAACATGCATCAGTAACCAAACTATTATTATATGCTTCCATCTCTGAGCTGTCTGCTGTGTTTTGCGGAGAACTTTATTCTGTTATTTTTATTACTGCGTGTCTCTCGTAATAATATGTATATAAATGACAAGGAAGAGCAGATGAACAAAGCCTTATCGCGGAGGCTGGACTTGTTTGAATTCAAAATCAAAATTCTTCCTGTCTCCTTATTTTTTACAGACCTTGAAGGATCCAGTCCAGATAGACCGGGTCCTTGAAGGATGCAGAATTTGTAGTCGAACACACCCAGTTCCTCTCAATTATCTAACTATTTGATTCAGGTGTGTTGAACCAAAGGCACATCTAAAAGTTACAGTATACTATCCCTCAGGGACTGGAATTGCACACCCCTGGGGTAGTGCATAGATAATTATATCAAAAGTTATATCAAAATGTTGCAAACCCTGGTAATGTATAATATAGTGGTGAATAATTGTCCTTACTTACAAGTTAAAGCCTTATTGAAGTTATTTCACATTCAGTTTTGCATTGTTTTTTAGACATTGGCAGAAATACCCAGGTCCGAGCCTGCTTTTAGTACATAAATGCTCGCCTCTCAGGCTCCAATGCCATCCCTCGCCTTGAACAGACTAAACTTATTTTTTTTGTAAAATAAAAGTAGAGTAGTGGAGCCTGTACCTTGAGTCGTTAAAAATGACATTTCTCAAATTCTGATAGCTGTGCACTGTGAGAGAACCCTGCTTAGCCAATAGAAACAGGATACCTATCAAACTATGCATTACAAAGGCTAAGAGAAAATACCTTCTCCAAACACAACTTGTGAGCAATCTAACTCATAGAATGTCATCCCAATTTTTCCTCCTTTGTTGTTGCTCTTTTTCTCTGTGTCACTGGCAGGTCTACTTCCACTGTTGCTTTTACCACATGCCAAATACACATCATTCCTCACAGCATGAAAGCTTTGCACATATTATTTAGAAAACCTGTCCGGTTTTGCTGTCAGTGAGTTGTGTTCCAGAGGTCAGTGCCACCATTGCTGTTTTTGGTGTAAAAGCCTCAATATAAGATTCTGTGGTGAGACAAACAGTGGGTCAGTACAAGTCTGACAGGCCTGTTAGATTGTCCTTAAGAATCTGCTGTTATATAACATGGGACAGTTGTGCCAATACACAGTTGCTAAATGAGGTAAACAGACAGAGACCTCCCCATACAAAAAAGTTCATTTTGAAATAGACAGCAAAATTAGATTGTCGAATATTTTATGCTTTTTTACTTTTCTGTTTTTGCCAATCACCAGCAGGCCTGACATAATAAAAAAACAAACAATTAATTGCCCATTAAAATTATAATTTGAATTAATATTACTTTTTAATTGGCTTGATAATTATCGTTAGCTGGCTTGATTGCATTTCCCTCTCTTTTGACTAAAGACTAGTTAACAAAAGTTTTCACTCAGCATAGGGAGGAGTTAATTCATGCATCAGGTATGCATTGTCTCATGTTATTATATACCACAGAGTGCAATGTGAGCCCGTGAGGAGTAGCAAATCAGTGAAACGACTATTTTGAAAAAGAGATGGAATTGGTTTCAAAGCTAAAAGTAACAGCGGCAGTGAGGAACCACTTTGGATTTCAGCTAAATGACCATGGTGAGCCTGTGGTGACATAAATGGACTAGCTAGTATGTAGCATTTGTTGTAAAGCAGTAGCAACTAGTGGCAACACAACAAACACACAGCTGCACCTAAAACATCATCACCCTGTGCAGCTGTCCAGGCTGGAGAAAAACTGCAACTAGTGGGCGGTATCAGTCTTCCTGACGATCTATCATCACTGCAGGGTTTAATCACTAAACTAAATACAAAAATGTCAGCACTACTATTATGCGCTCTTACAGACATTTTAGTGTGCTTTAAAATAAAAATAAAAAATATATAAAAAAAGATGCTGCCTTTTGATTTTGTTTAAAAGGTAGCATATTGAAAATGTAATATTCATACCCATCTTAATCAGCAAACCCACAGCTGTACAATAACACAAAAGATAGTGAAATAAAAGACAACTTGGTTTGTTTTCATATTTTAGTTTTTATAGCAGTAGTGGCTTGTTTTTCTGACAGTAAGTTGTCAGGAAAGGGGGTATGAGAGAGGGGGAGAGAAATGCAGCACAGGACCACAGGTCAGATTCAAACCCTGGTCAGCCGCATCGAGAATTAAGGCCTACGTACATGAGTTATGTAGCCTGACAAAGTCCTACTCAATTCTAATCAGAATATGAGTCTGATACTGCTCCATAGAGCTGTGATTATGGGGCGTGTTTCGAACAAACCAGGGAAAAAAATGCCTCTGCACTCAATTGGATAGACCTACAACCAATAAGACCAACGTAGTGCGTGACGTATGTTAAACTTCCCGATCTCAAACATACAACGTTACCTACTATGTTTACAACGTGGGATTAATATCACGACATTGCAAGTTATTTACTAAATCAGACAGTCAGATGATCTGTTACCATTTGTAAGTTAGATGAACTACGTCCACGACGATACCCATAACGTTGGCTTGAAAACATCGGAGCCTAGCATGTCCCTCCACTTGTTGTTCAGCAGCCAGGATTCTGAGCTTCCGAAAAAGGAGCTGGCAACGACCGCTGGCTATATCCACCTCGTCGTTCACACCGAGTTGCATCGCCGTTTGGTGACG